AGGACTGCGTTCCTGTTATCCTATCAGACCAGGTAGAACTTCCATTCCAGAATGTGATTGATTATACTCTGATATCCATCAAATAGCCATCAACACAAATTGGCCCCCAGCTGCTGGAATATCTGGAATCCATACCAGGTTGGTTAATGTTGTACTTCTTTTTCCTGAATTTTTTAATTTCTCAATGAAGTTTTTACCATTCTTTGTTTTGTTTTTGGGGGGCATATAAATACATACCACACAATTCTTATATATTCACATATCTAACACCTATATTTTCATATTTATTTATGTAACACTAAATTTTTAATATCACAATTAAGTTATCGCTATTACTAACTTTTTAAAAGTGAAATATACCTTTTATGACATCAAAGTACTGTAAATATAAATATCAAAATTTAAGTGTTAGATATGCAAATACATAGGAATTGCACAATATATATGTAAGTTCTTTTAGGCATTTACATACATACCACTCAATTCATATGTATTGACGTATCCAAACACCTAAACTTGGCTTTTTATATTAATACCACTCAAAATTTTCTTATCACATAAAAATATCACTATTTTAACTTTTAAAAGACTGGCATGTGTAAAACCTAAAGTTTAGGTATTAGATACTCAAATACACGAGGAATTGAGGAGAAATTATTATGTACGTTGACTGCATGTCTAGACGACGGTGTGGATAGGCCGTCGTGTATCACATGGCGGCGTGACCGCATCCAGACCGTCATCCGGATTTTTCCAGAATTGAGAGGTATATATATGTAAATTTTTCATGCATACATGAGATTTGCATGTGTAAAAACTGAAGTTTTGGTATTATATACTCAAATACATAGGAATTGAAGAGAAATTATCCGTCATCCGGATTTTTCCAGAATTGAGAGGTATGTATATGTAAATCTTCTCTTTTTTTTTTTGGTGGCACAGATGAGGCGATTGAAGGCATGATAGCTGGAGGCAGAGAAGTGAGGTGCCATTGGGTATATGTTTCAGAATCAAAAAATTATTCTATCATGACTCCAATGTAGAGATGTGTTCGGTAGTCCATTGACACGTGGCTTTAAAGACCCACACTCAAATCTCCAAAAATAATAAAGAAATCGCGCGCGCTTGGCCCAGCTTGACCCGAATCTTTATTCGTAAAAGCTTCCAGGGAAAGGTGAGGAGATTCCATCAGTCTGTAGAAACCTTTTGGCTAAAAATGTTATTTTAGTAAATAACCCTTTTGTGCTCGGAGCTGCGGCTCGGTGGTTCGCTTGTTTGATTTTGTGAAGTTAGGAGGAAAACTTGCTCAAGATTAAAATAAGGATTTACGTGCATGCCCCACAATTAATTTGTATTTACCTTTGTAGTTATGCATCTAACATCTACAGTTTGATATTCGTTTATATAGCATTTTAGTGTTATGGCTATGTTAAAATGAAGCATGAAATTGTGCATTTTTGCTTTAGAAAAGTTAAGTTGAAATGATGTTAATGAATTAAGTGTTATGTAAATAAAAGTCAAATTTTAAAGTTTATGTATTGGATATGTAAATATGTATGATATGTGTTTTATGCGAAAAAAGGAGCGCTTTTTAAGTGCTTTCAATGCAAAGGTGGGCCCCAATGTTATGTACTATTTTTGTTGCTTTTTTTTTTTTAAAAATTCCGGGAAATTGAAGCTTGCAATATGTGGTAGAAAATGAGCTCTCAATAATTAGATTATATTTTTAACTAAATATAATATAAAGGTAGATGGCGGATGAGATGATGATTCGGTGGTTGGATTATACTCATAATCTTTGAACTCCAATTTTTTTTTAATGCACGACAATTCACCTTTAAGGGGCTTTTAACAGAGAAAATATTGCGTCCGGAATCCAAATGTAAGCAGCATCCAGACAACTGGTGTATCGTGTTCTTTGTCCGGACGTAATATTCTCTCCTTTTGAAGGGATAAGTTGTGATAGGTCATTTTTTGTTAAACTTAAACTTTTAATGGGTGAATTTATTAGTCATAATTTTTTTAGTATATTTGGAGAGCCATCTGTTTATCGCGCTGAGTTCTGAAGTTCTAAATTTTATTATATAATGGCTACACGTTTTATATGTAATTTTGTATCTTACACCCAAGTTGTGTTTGTAGAATCACTTGTTGATTGTATATTTCATGCATCTCACTTAAATCTTTAATGTCACACAAAAAATATTAAAATTCTTCACTTTTAAAATAAAACACATAATTTCATGAATAAATTTATGAAATCAAATTATTATAAATGTAAATGTTAATGCTTACCTGGTAGATATGAAACTACGAATGAAATATGTAATGTGCATGTAAATTTTGTTTTTTTTTTTTGAATGCTTAAAATTAAACCTTGAAGGCTTATAATTGGCTCATCAGATTAGCTGCACATGTTAGATATAATTGTCAGGCTACTAAGCTGTTGAACCCAGATTTGTCTATGATCACTCCCAAGGAATGGAGCTAGTTAAGGAGGGCAGGGTGTGACACAAACACACACACACACACACACACGCACACACACACTCTGTTAATTAGTGGTTTTGTTTGGCCATGGATGAGTTCTATGGAAGAGTTGTTATAGGAAAGTAGTTCTTGGAAATCATCCTTGTGAGAGCTATTTATAACTGCAAGCGGCCAAGTGTAGAAGGCTAAGTACTAGTGGCCAAGTATGTGGGGCCGAATGCAGGTGACCAAATGTAGGAGATCAAATGGATGCTAAACTATTCTCTTGGAATATTTCTCTGGTGTGTTACATGTTGCTAGTTACTTTTATATTACTTGATTGTGCTACTTGTGTGACTTCTCTATTTATTTGTGACATGATCTATGTTGCAACTTTCAAGGTGTTGAATCCAAATGTATCTGTGAATCACACCCATAGAATGGAGCCAGTTAGGAAAGGAGGGTGTGATTTGTAGAGAAGAGAAACAAAGAGAGATAGCGTGCATGTGTTGTATTGATTTCTCTAATATTTGCCCCAAGGGGAAGGAATATAGATGTTTAATGTGATAGTTGCCTCTTGCATTCCTCCGGAAAAACATCTCTCCTAATAGGGTTCTCCTAAAATCATCTATAGGGAAATAATTTGTCCAACTGAAGAGGAGTTCCAATGGAGTGGAGGTAAGCAACAAGAAAATATTTGACAACAGGAAAAAAAAATTCAGAACTCTCTTCCTTATCGTTATTTTATTTCATTATTTTATACTTTTTCTTAACTAGTTAAATATGTACATAACGAGCAATACATGCATTACACGTTATATAAGAGGAGTTCACCAATAATACTCGAGAAAATTGACCCTCACAAGCAAGTTCTTAAATAGTACAAAGAAAATGGCCTAAACTTATATATCATACTCGGCTCAATAACTAAATGCTACAGACAACTTTGGAGTAGCACTTTTTAAGATATAACTCGATCAAATAAAAAATACAATTAGTTAACCAAAAGATTGAGGACAACAAGATCTCGACTTAAGTAAAATTGAAAAATTATGACGACTACTCTCTATAAGAGAACTGCGACCCTCGATCAAAGAATAATCCAAATTTAATGAAACTATTTAAATTTTGTTATAATTGCGCCATTTAATAAGAAAAAAGTCAATTTAGCTGCACAAAAGGTGGAAACTCCTTTCGTCGTTAACACTTAGGGAACTTTCTCTATAAGATCATCGAGTCAACTGCAATAAAAATGAGCTTACAATTTATGTGACCTCTCCCTAAAGGTGACCCAAAATGCTCTCAGGATGGAATCTTATAGATGTACCCAAAGTGCCCCTAGGAAAATTCCTTGTAGAAGAGCTAAAAGCCCCAAGTAGACAAATAGTCAACTCATAGAGAAATATGTCACTCATTTTTTTTACTTTAATTGTTTTGACTCATTTAAAATAAAAAAAACACATCTAATGATTATTCTTCAAACCAGAAAGACACACACTTGTCTTGCAGAGACGAGTAATGTATAGGTTCATGTTTATCATTCTCTTATTATTATTACAACATAACTTTTTAAGAGATGAGAGAATCAAAAAATTAAATATGTATAACTTAAATGAGCTACTCAGACCATCAAGACACGAATAACCCTCAACTTATTATAATGATGAACGTCATAACAATGACCTGATAACTGAAGATCAAGCATGAAGGTCGGATAGCAAGGGCCGAGTATGAAAGGCCGAGTACTGTGGGACGAGTATTGAAAACCGAGTGCTAAGTGATAAATACATAGGTCTCTAAAAGAACACTGGTTATTCATGATCTCTTGTGGACTTCGAAAAGAAAATTTGAGATAGGAACTTTACCTTTATAATGATGTGATTAAAAAGATAACTATGTAATCATAGAGGTCAATTCATAATAAAGGCCCATACTTATCATTTTAGAGAGACCCACCTCTATACAAGTGGGAAATAAATTTAAAATGGATTCCACCCTTTGGATCCAAAAACTTATGATTATTAAAATTTATCTTATTTACTGAGCTGCTCAGCTCCCACACCTTATATCTTTCATTCTCTCTGCTTGCCTACACTCTATTTCTTTGGTGTGATTCAAGGGGAATATATAATTCAACATAACCTAGATTTTGGTTAGGTTTCTTCTATGTAATTGTTATATATTGATTATATTCTATGGTGTGATGCTTACTATGATTTTTTCTTGCTATTTGGATGGTATATTAATTTCTTTTGAGTTAGAACTAATATTAGTGTGACTATTTTATAGTTCGAATGATTGTTTCATGCAGAAAAGTCATATTAGTGTGAAAAATAACATGCTAAAATAAAATTAACATTAAAAAACTTTGCCTGCAAGTTCTATTGCTAACCCATGCTTATGCTCTAAGCATGACTTATGGGACAATTGGCTGGTTACCTATCGATGCCAAACAATAAATGGCGATAATTGCTTGTTTATGTGTGCTTAACTACTAATTACCTATTTGTAAGAAAGTCATGCTTGTGTTTCTTAGTTAGTTTACCATATATTTCCACTTAAAAATACTTATTTTTTCTAGATTTATTTCTATGTTTGTGTATGCTAAAGCATGATATTTACTCTTTAGACTTGTTTGATTAAATTATTTTTATGCTCAACATAATCACATAAAATAATATATAATAAAAAAATAAAATCAATCTAATTTATCTAAAAAAAATAATAAAAATTATTTAGAAACATTCGAGATAATGAACCTTCCACATGTATATCTTGATTTTTCTCCTTGTTTTTGACACTTAACCTATTGAACATAAGGGAGCATCTTGCTAGTGAGGATGAATGCCCTTCTTTAGGAATCTACGTAAGAAAAAAAATATTTTTGACTTTTACACTTTAAAATATAACACATGCATTTCATGATTAGTGGCATGCCTTGGCCATGAATCAAATAAAAATCAATTAATGAAAAATTTTAAATTCATAAATTTTGTAGTTAGATGCATTGCCTACCAATCGTTGTCGATCCGCTTGATATATAAGAATGAGTCATAGGTCCCACTAAATTTTTCTTAAATCTAAATAATGGTTTTAACTAACTTGATTTTTATTAAATTAAATTCATAGATTTAGAGCACAGGTGGGCTAACTGACTATCATTTTCAAGTAGAGTTGTAAGTTTAGAAGAGCCATACTTAATGTCTTCTTTGGCAGGATTAAAGCCTATAATTCTCACCATTTTTCTTAGACTAGGCTTAAGCTTTCAACATGTATTGATAGTGCTCAACTTAGTTTAGGCTCAGAGATGGATGACTTTTCTTTGTTACGATATAGTTCCCATCCACCTAAGTTTTTATACAATGTTATATTGTTGGAATATCAATCTTAATTATACTAAAATGATCAACTCAAATAATAAAAAAAATGTCAATTTTTAAAATATAAATCCCTACATAAGATAAACAAAAGTGTTACTAAGTTTATTGGTATCTAAGCTCTCCCCACTTCACCTTCTTTGACATCTAAAAAGAGTTATTCCAATTTAATCCTCTTTGATTGATTTCTAAAATAGCAATCTTAGTCCAAGCTTTGAAATCTATAACGACATCAGCTATTGCTTTAATCGAGAATACTCTTAAGAGATTATCTCTTTTAGAATATAAATAACTCTTTGAGTTTGCTTCAAACTAAGATAATTCTATCTTACCTGAAATAAAAACATGAAATGAATCTCTAGTTCTCTTAGATCATAAATTTCAAAACCTTTATTTTTTGATTAAATCTATTATAGAAAAAATATTTTTTATATTTTTAGCTAATATATTATTCTTAATATCTTAAATCATTTAAATTAATTTTTTTTTAAATTTGCGGGTTATTACATTTCTCTAACCCACAAC